ATATATATATATATATATATATATATATATATATATATATATATTTGTGTGTGTGTGTGTGTGTGTGTGTGTATATATATATATATAACCTAGTAATCACCAAAATGGGGCACCATGTGATTTGTCAGATGAGTGGTGTGATCAGTTAAAGAATAAGTAGTTAAGTAGTTCATCAAAAGCTGGATACTTTTAGAGATTTCAAAAATGAGACGTTAATAGGATACAAAGATAAAACGTTTCCATAGGGTCAGCTTGCAGAAGACCTGAACTACTGAGCTGAGGGGTTTGCATTTGAAGCTATAGATGATGGAGAGAGAGCTGTTAAAAATGCTAAACAAGCGAATAACAACGTGTTAAAAAGTGGCTACAAAGGAAGATTAATCGGACAGCTTGTAATCTCAATGTGCTAAATAATACAAATAATTTTGACTTCAAGATGTTGAACTTTAGGAGTTCACTTACCCTAATTGATTTAGAGAAAGCTCTTCCTAGCTTAGGGATTTTTCCCTTCTCCTCCCTAATTTGAAAGTATATACTTAGTATGTTAACTTGAAGGGGTTGCAGAATCATATTTAAGCTGATGAAATAAAGATATTCTGAGCACATGCTCCTTATGTGGCATAGTAAAGGGACAGAGTGAGGTAGGGAGAACATTGAACAGGCCTTTGTAAGTGTCCAGATTAGTTGAGAAGCATCTGGACAGGGACGCTGGCAATAGTCATGGAGGAGAATGGAAAGTTAGTTGTGGTGACAGATTGATTTTTGAGGAGCAAGTGAAGTCATGTATAACTTCAAAGTTTCAAACTGGATTATTATGAAAAAAATGGTCCCGTTGACCAAAAAATATGTAAATTCAGAGGAGAAGTTTATTTTTTAGAAAATATATGAATTCATTCCGGAGATCTGTAGCATGCTGTAGCATGGTGACTAGAGTTAATAACATAAACTAGAAAACTGCTAAGAGAGTAGATATATACATTAATTGGTTGGATTGTGGTAATAATTTCACAGTGTATATATATATATATGTCAAAACATCATGTTATATGCCATAAATTTATACAATATTCTCTTGTCAATTATATCTCAATAAACTTGGCAAACAAATATACAAATACAATATTAGACATGCTTAGTTTAAGGTGGCAGTCATAGGCAGCTACAAATTTGGGAACTGTAGTTAGGGCTAAAAAATATAAACTTGAAAGTGTTCCTACAGATTGAAAATAAGACTGAAAAGATGGCAGGAGAGGCAGCAAAAACAAACAAACAAAAAAACACACCACCACCCACCACCACCAACAAACAACCCAGAATGGGCTGGTTTAAAAGATGGAAGCTAAATATTAAAGTGCTCTGAGAAGTAAGAATGTAAGCAGAATGAATATGGGGAAAAAGAGGCCAGATTTGGTGATTTAGAGATTCCTGGTTACTTTAAGGTTACAGTTACTAGTAGAGAGGGCAGAAGTCTCATTTCAGAGAAGTAAAAAGAGAATGATCAGTGGGGCCATGGAGGCAGGTACTTTTTAAAGGTCAAAAATGAGTCACAGTGAGAAAAGTAGGTGTATCTTGAGGAGGCGGCACCACTCATTTTGCTATTAGTTATCTACATTTGTGCATTGACTCTTCTGGCTCCTTGAAGGCAGGAATAATGTTTTTACTTCTTTCTTATAATTCCTTCCTGTAGGATTTTACCCATAGAAGATATATGTATTCAACATATAGTTGGCAAATTTTTGTCTTTTTTTTTTTTTTTTGAGATGGCGTCTTGCTCTGTCACCCAGCTGGAACGCAGTGGTGTGATCTTGGCTCACTGCAACCTCCACCTCCTGGTTTCAAGCAAAATTTTTGTCTTTTTAAAGATATGAGAATTTTGCTTTTTTGTACATAGAAGGGAAGGGGCCAGAAGAGGAGGGATGAGAAAGCTAGAAAGATTGAAAATGCCTGAGAGGATCTGTCCTAGTATTGGGGGTAGGGGAGATAGAGAGGCTGAAGTGAGAGGCCTAGGTAAGTCTTTGACCCATGAAAGTTTTACCCCAGATAGGTGGCTTTGTGAGTTACTTAACTTCATTCTGATTATATTCTTACAATTAAGCTAGAGAAAAGAAACCTATTTAAATTATAAGGAAGAAAAATATATTTACTCTTCGTTAAGTGGAAATGGATCATTATATAGGTCTTCATTTTTGTCATCTTTGCATTGAATGGATTAAAGAAGAGGAATAGGTCTTGCTGTCTCAAGGGTGGCAGAGGCAGAAGAAATTCATGTATAAGTACGCCCTCTCAGTTCAAATCTGTGTTGTTGAATGGCCAACTGTAACCTTTAATCATACTCATTCAAAATCTAAGTCAGATACTCTGTGTCTTCTATGCCCTATATACAGTTTCCACTTAGACCAGCTACTTGTTCTCTTCAGAAGGTATATTCTATATGACTTTTGAAATAATTAAAAAAATTATAGTACTTAAGTTTACTACTCATAGTTTCATTTGCTTGTTATGCAATTTATTTTCTGTCCTAAACTAAGAGAAAAGACCTGTCATGATCTTAGGCATGTGCACATAATTTAATAAAAACCAAATTGAGAATAGATACTAGAATTTACTACAGAATCTGAATGCAAGAAGTGTATGATTGTGTCATGCCTGTTTCTATAATGTTATTACAATATTAAAATATCTTTTATGAGATTAAATTTCGAAAACTGCCGTTTTATAGAAAGTAATCCAAAGATATAAGCTTGTGTCTTGTTAAGTATTTTTGAACTTTGGAAGTGGTTTTGAAGGTTTAGTTTACCAAGAGACTTTCTACAAAAAAATGTGGGGTAAGTATTTTTTACTTTACCTAAAAATAACCTAAGATTACATACACTTACCAAATGATTAGCTATTTTGGTTATTTTTCAATGACTGCACTCACTATTCCTTGACTGCTTTTTGAATTGTATGATAAGGGCTTAAATAACTTAAAATAGACTCACTCAAGCCTATGGAAGGTCATAAGAGATTAGAACCTGTACATTTGCAGCATCTTGTAAGCACATTGCATTGCGTAGAATTGTCTAAACTCAACAGGACTTGTGCATCAATAAATATGCTCTTATTTTCATTTGCTCAGCTCTGCTATTTTAGAATGAATGTAGTGAAAGCTGTCTAGGATTTTTAAAAAACTATTTATAGTTGGATTTTCTTTTATTTTTCAGTTTGCAGACAGTAGGTTGCATGCCTCCACCTGTGTCTTCTGCAGTGATTTTAACCAAGGCAGTTGGTGGAAATGAGGTGAGTCATGGGCCTAACTTATTTAAACATAAGTGCATGCTGTGCTTTTATTTCAAAATTATATCATAGTTTTGAACATGAAGGGGTGATGTTGCCGAAGACTCCTAGCCATAGCAGCTTGTGAAATAAGGGGATGTACTCACATACTAGCATGATGATAAAATTGATTATGATGGGTGGAATTTCGGATTTCAAAGGAAAGAGGAAGGGAGATGAGTGACATAGAGATGGTGATTTTTCTTTTATCTCAGTGGAAAATTGGGAGACAAAGGACAGAGAAAACCTGGGAAAGGCATTTTTCATCCAAGATTCACAGACTGGAGACATCTAGTATGGCTATTCCTACATTCTTAAAAATTTTTCAACAAACTAAATTGATGGGGAAAAAGTTCAATATGTTTAATGACAAATGAAGATGACATAAAAAGAAGAAATTAGGCTAGGTTTCTTAGATTAATTCAAAGAGATTATTCAACTGCTAGGGGACTGTGACACATTAATTGTATTTGTATATTGGGGTAGCAATTGTCTAATGCAGAAGCTTCTTATAGGGGATTCTTCCTTGGTTGAAAGGCCCTACAACTGTATACTGAGGGACATTCATTTGTGATAGCTTATTTCTTCTTTTCTAGTTATATTCTCTCATTTAGAAAAAAATATGCTATTAAAGGAGGGAAGATATAATGGGTTTCTACTTCAGTTCATTCTTAGGATTCTGCTTTCAACATCTATTTCATTTCCATCCACTTTATGCTTTCCAAAAATATTGAATACCTGCTACATTCTTTTTGAAAACAGGTTTCTGGAAGTATCATTGACATATAACAAACTGTATAAACATAAACAGTTTAATGTTTTGACATATGTGTACATTTGTGAAACTATCATCACAATCAAGATAGTGAACATATCCATATGTATATCCATCTCCATATATACATCCTCAAAGAGTTTCCTACATCCCTTTGACATTCCTTCCTTCTGTCCTCAACACCCCTCTTCCCAGGCTTCCCTAGGCAACCACTGATCTGCTCTCTGTCACTATAGATTAGTTTGCATTTTTTAGAGTTTTGTGCAATGGAATCATACAGTGTGTGCTTTTTTTTCTAATCTTTTCTTTTTTTTTTAACTAAGCATACTTATTTTGAGATTCATCTATGTTGTGTTCGTTAATAATTCAGTAACTTTTATTGCTGAGAAGTAGTGTTTGGTATAGATATACTACAAATTGTTTATCCATTCACCTGTTGATGGAAATTTGGGCAGTTTCTAATTTTTGGCTATGAGTATTCATGTAGAAATCTGAAGTTTATATATAATATTACCCTCATTTCCTTGGGAATACCTAGGAGTGGAATGGGTATATCATCCGATAGGTGTAAGTTTTAGTACTTTTCAACCAAGGAAGAATCATCTACAAATAGTTATAAGTTTCCTATAAATAGCTTCTGATGTAAACCATTTCTATCAATATACAAGTGTTCTTTTACTAAATATGTATGTTTAACTTTTAAAGAAATTACCAGACTATGTTTTAAAGCGGTTACACAGTTTTACATTCCAACCAGTAGTGAATGAGAGTTCCAGTGCTCTACATCCTAGTTAACATTTGGTACTATATTTTCAGTGTTTTTAATTTTTCCCATTCTAATATGGTATAGTGATATCTCATTGTGCTTCTAATTTAATTTGTATTCCCAGTGATATCAAGTATCTTTTCATGTGTTGATTTGCTATTCATATGTCTTTGGTGGAATGTCTGTTAACTCTTTTGTTCATTTTTTTTAAATTGGGTGGTTTGTTTACTTATTGATGACCATTTAGAATTCTATATATTTTGGATATAAATCTTTCATCAGATATTTGCTTTGTCAATATTTTTTCCTAGTCTGTGACTTGTCTTATTGTTTTTTACCAGTGTGTTTTGAAGAGCAGGATGGTAGTGGAGGCAGTAAAGGTGATTGGATTCTAGATATATTTTGAAGGTACAGGATATGCTGATGAATTAGATGTTGGGTGTAAGAGAAAAAGAGGGGTCAAGAATGACTTTAAGGTTTTTGGTTGAGCAACTGAAAGGATAAGGTTGTTGATATGGAGAAGTATGCTATGTGAGAACAGGTTTGGGGAGTCTTAGCCTACAGAGGCTAGGCTATTCTGGGATCACTAAGAACTGCAAAATCTGAGTGGTTAAAAATATACATTGATTTCTTGTTCAAGGTACCTGTCCCATGTGGGTCAGTGGGAAGGTCTTTTGCAAGATTCCAGATTGATTGGAGGCTCTACCGTTTTGTAGGTCTACCTCCTGGATGGAACACACAATATTTTCAGTTGCCACAGCAGAGAGAAAGATTGGAGAACCACAAATGGGCTTTCCACTGCCCAGGCTGACAGTGATACATGGCAGTGCTGCTCACATTAATTGGCCAGAATAAGTCTTATGGTCTTGCCATGTGTTGTCATTTATGTGCCCCGACAGAGAAGGGAACTGGACATTAGTGAACACTTGTAATGTCAGCCATATGGGTTTAGATCAAGAGTTTGGGTTTTTGATGGATTAAGATGCCCAACATATATATCCAAGTGGAAATGCTAAAGAATTAGGGATATTAGAATTGGTAGTTTAGGGAGTGGTCTGAACTAAAGATATAAATTGGGGAATCATCAGTGGATAAATGTATTTAAAGCCATAATTGGATGAGATTATTTGGAGAGAGAGCATAGATATAAAAAAGAGAAGAGGTTCAAGGATAGAGCCCTGGATCACTCCAACATTAAGAGATCAAGGGAATGAAGAATAAGCAGCAAAGGCAATGGAGAAAAGCATCAATAGTGAGAGTAGGAAAAACAGGGGAGCACTGTGTCAGTGAAGCCAGGTGTCCTGGAAGCCATGTGAAAAAGCATTTGAGGAGGAGGGTCTGGTTCGCTGTGTAAAATAATGCTGATATAAGTTGTGTAAGGTAAATTCTGAAGATTAACCACTGAATTATGCTACATGGAGTTATTGGCAGCCTGACCAGAGTGGTTTTGGTGGAGCATTGGGACAAAAGCTTATTTGGAGTGGGCTCAAGAAAAAAGTGGGAAGAGCAGAATTAGAGATAGAAGTAGAGTTAACTGCTTTGAGGTTCTCTGTGATGAAAGGGGAAAGGGAGGCTGTATTAAGAGGGGATGTGGGGTAGAAATTTTTTTAATGTAGAAATAACAGCATGTATGTATCATGATGAGAATGGTACAGTAGAGAGGAAACTATTGATATAAGAGAGAGTGTGTATGCTAGAGTAATATATTTAATCAAATGAGAGAGAATGGTATTTAGTTGTATGACTTTCAGTAGGACCTTGGGCTGTTTATTTATAACAGAAGGGATGGCAGAGTATGTGGATATGGATGTGTGTAGATGGGTAGAAGGGGGTGCACTTGGTCTCTTTTAATGAGAATGATGTTGAGGTGGGTAGTACTGATGTTTCAAAAGGGAGGAGAAAGTGTGCAATTGCCATGTAGATGAGAGTGAGTTAACTTCAGAGTACGGCAGGACTGCTAGGCTGGACTAAGGAGCCAGCTGAAATGCGTAGACATACATTGAAAATGAAGCCAAGCATTGTGGTTGTGTGTTTTCTCAAAGGCACATTTAGCTTCTTAGTGTAGGAATGAAATTGGCAGATAGCTGGATTTAACCAAAGATTTCATTATGTCAGGTAGTTATTTCCATTTGCCATATAATTAGTGAGATACAGGAGGTATAGGAGTTTTAGACTAGTATGCACTGTGGTTTTCTTTCTATTGTGATTAGAGATAAATACGATTTATCTAATGTAATTCCATTAAGAGGTGTGTAGGCTAAATTGATTTAAGAGGCCAAAAAACCTTTTTGTTCTCAACTTTTGGCCGAAGTTCACATTTCATCCATATCCTTAACAGTAACATACAGCATTAGATTCTTCTAAAGTCTACTTCCATGTTTATTCCCTCAATAGATAAATTGTTTACATTAATGTTGCTTATCAATAATGTTGAATTCAGAAATATCTCCTTTGTTTTCTAAAAGTGTTAGTCCATTTCTTTAAATGTTTATATTATGTAGCTTCATGATTATCAAACATTTTTGTAGACCAGAGGTATTAGATACAATTTTTCATAAATCTTCAATATCAAGCTTCAGAAATGAAGTTTTCATAGTACAGTTTGGTCCTATCTTCTTATGAGTAGACTATTTCATATTTTCACCAGATTGTACGAGAAAATGATCTGCAAGAAAAGGTAGTTGAAAAGTTTAATATTTTTCTGAAATAATGTTACTAGATAAGTGAATGTAGATTTTTATTGAAGTAAATATGAAAGAAGGTTAATCTTTTATATAATACATTGGAAAGAATGTAATCTAAGGATGGACAGTTAATTTGTTGATGCATGTAATGAAAAGGTCCAGAAGCTGGGCCCACTGTCACCTACCATTTGATGAGGACCCTGGTTCTGCTTTTCTGTGATTCCCTGCTCTGACTTACATGTAGCAGCTCTGTACCCACATAGGTTTTAACACAGCAATAGAATTGCTTGTGGCATATTTCTGTGTTGCATTGTCTTTGCAAACGGTTCTTCACGGTGTTTATGATAAATGAAAATGTTTTCCTTCAGGATTTTGTGTTATCGCCTTTTTCACATTTAGTTTATACTCATATATATTTATATATTTCTTTATATGTAATATATACATGTTTAATATGTACTCTCATGTACTAAATAAAGTGTATGATTGTATACCATATTTGTTTTTAATGATTTGGGAATGTATGCATTTGTAATGGTGTCATTTGAAATGATTATTTTTATTTTGCAAAGTTGTTGTAGACCTTAGGAGGAAATTTGTTTCTGTTACTTGCACACCTTTCATTTTAAATGATTTTCAGTAAAATTGTTGTACCAGAATATCTTGTCATGGGTTGTACTTTGGCAAGAAGTAACTTTATTACTTTTTGTTAGTTAATAGAAATCTGTTCTTAAAACTT